GTTTACAGACCCCCGAAACGCGGCTTCGTGTGGATGAGAGGATGGTTGGGTGAAAAATTTGTGCGTTTAGGCCAGGGTTCGGCTTCGTGTGGACGGGGCCTAAGAGTCCAGTTCCTGCAGCAGCTCTGCCACAGACCCTGGACAGAGACTAGGCATACTCCATTGGATATCTCAGCTCCTCTCACTATCCTTTCCTGGGCCATTTTGTCTACAATATATTGCAGGCTGGAGATGGAGTACCTTAGCACTCTTAATTTTAGATCTTATATGGAGAGGTTCTTTTATTTTGTAGCTCTGGTTTAGATAAAGTAAAACTAGCTGTTCTGAAAGTACTTTCAATCAAGTTAATAAATGATGCGCAAAGGTTTCAGAAAACAACCTAAACTAAAAGGTTTAATTTAATTCAGTTTAAATTAATTCCTCCTAAATGTAGTCATGGTGATGCAATAAGAAATATTACAAATAAAATTTCAATGCATGGAAAAGACTTATGTAATTCAAGTGTTGTTAAAGATTTAAGGGTTCTGTTTTTTACTCCTGCAGCAGCATTGACGTTCAGCTCTGATTTTACACCACAGCAGCCACTCTCTATGTTGACTCAGGGTATATGAGGACATTTAAAAACTGCTCCAGAAAGATCTGCAAGCAGATCAGCCGTCGTAAGAGCCGTCACCTCGCAGGTCCTTTCACATCCTACCCCAGAAATTCTTGCCCCAGTAGCCTCCAGCTTTACAGTAATTAAAGCAGCAAATGAGAGCAAGGTTTATGAAAGAGGGTGAGGGAGGGTGAATACCAACAGGGAGGTCCTCTGTGATTCTGTAGTCGGGGCGAAAATTCGAAAGCCCCTCAGAGGCCTGGATTCAGTTGGAACTTCATGTTCTTTTGGAAATGACTGGAATAGTAACAAGGTTTGATCCTGGGAGAAGCCGATGGTTGTGTGGACTCACTGGGATTGAGACTTACTATAATAACCCTTTACTGTCAGAATCTAACGTTTAGATTTATTTAATCCCACTCTAAAATAAGGAGATATGGTGCATAAACCAAAAAAACAACTTGGTTTAGTTGTAATAAAAGAGTTTATGTTATAAAAACCCAGATTTTTTTGTGTGTTCTGCAGTATTCATAGCTGTCTTAAATTACCACTAGTTCACAGAATGAGGGAAATAAAGGCAGTAAGTCAGTAAGTCTGGGATTATCTCTTCATATCAGATCATTTTAAACAATGAAAATCACTGAACCCACAGAAAATGCTCTATATCCTCTGCATCTTCCTCCCCATGCATCTTCACCTTTAAATCATACAGCATGGACTTGATGTCAAACATAACAAGGTGTTTGATTTTGTTATCAGAGCTCTTGATCATCTAGCATTGTTTGATTTAAATTGGGAAAGCTGATTATTGGCAACTTTCAGTTTTCTTTGTGTTTAAATGCGTGTTTCAGTAGAAAACAGAAGCGTCCTTCTCAGAACAAAATGTTAATTCTAAAGGAGATACAGTAGCAACAACTTTAACTTCTCCTGTTCAGAAGGTCTGCTAATTCTAATGCTTTTACTTTTGGCCCCTTTGCATCCTTATGTTAGCACCAGTGCTGAAAGAATGACTGATCACTGTCATTTTGCTTTCTTTTTGCTTTTTGTTTGCTTAGATCTGAGAAAATTAAAATCCAAAAAGAAAGGCCATTTCTAAGCTCTATCAGGGAGCTAATATTGTCTGGCAATGCCTGAGCTCCTTCTCACCTGTCTTCAACCTACTTTTCCTATTGGTGCAGAATCCTT